TTATATGGAACCTTTGCATATATTAATCATAAAAAAAGATCCTAGTTTTATTGATTATTGATCTGTATGAGAGAACAAGCCATGTATAAGCAGTAATTAGTTTATATATATGAATGCAGTATAAAGTGACCCCGCCAAAACACGAAATTTTAGATTTACTATATGATGAAAAAACTTAACTAAGATATAAATTTGTCAACCATTTGTTATTCCAGGATATTGCAATTATCAACTTTTAAACGCGAGGTGATTGTTCACTTTGAGAAAGAACATCCAATTTTGCCAGAGTTTTCTAGTTTGAACATCACATTTAACATTTGTATTTTTCTCTTGTTTTAAGCTACTAAATTTATGTCCTTTGCTTCTGCTTCAAACAGCTCTAATAAAAATTTCAATAATTAAATAACTGTACCAAATTTCCTGCTTTGATGGGGCACCCTGAATTAAAAATAAATATATAGTTGTTTTATGCTACTTAAAGTTTCAATTGATTACCAGGCACAAGAAAATCAACCGGTGAAGAACAATTATATATCTTAGGTCTGTGATTTTATATCAGGCAGTTTTCTTTTTTACTCACAGTACTCACTGTGCACTCTATCTATCTATCTATCTATCTATCTATCTATCTATCTATCTATCTATCATACATACATACATATACACACACACACACACACACACACACACACATATATATATATATATATATATATATATATATATATATATTTCAGTCCCCAAGTTGGATGTTCTTTGAAAATAGAACAATCACCTCGCGTTGAAAATTTGATAACTGCAGTATCCTGGAATAACAAATGGTTAACTTATTTATATCTTAGTTAAGTTTTTTAGTTCATTCATATCGTAAAACAATTTGTTAATTTTTTTTTATATTTTAGTTAATATACACACAAAATGAGATCTGTACACATTGAGCTATTTGTATATATACAGACATTCACACATACGGACACGCACATACACGTACGGACACGCACATACACGTACGGACACGCACATACACGTACGGACACGCACACGCACTGTAAGAAAAAATATATGTAGGCTGATATTAAAAGCAGTAGGTTTATAATACAATTTACGATTAGTTTTAGGGTTTATGCGAGATTGGGCGGACAAGAACCACGTTACCGACTAGTCTTGTCTTTAACAAAAGCACAACTTCCGGATTCAGATTTGGCCAGAGGCTGACAATATAATCACGTACTTTGCTCACCGTCCACGCTCGTAAATTTGCCGTCGGTGGAAGGTGTACCATGTAGAATATCAAGCGAAGTGAGCCTGGCAGTTTCGACTCGTGTCCTTTGAAATGACGACTGGGCTGTATGAGAAGATCTAAAGCAGCTTTGGGAGCGGCCTGGAGGTGATTTATGAAAAGAACCGTCTGTCCCGAATGGGATGCTTCCAACAAAAGTTTTCGCAATCGTTCTTCAATAGTATATTCCTCCCAAATTGCGCTTCCAACATTAAAGCTTCTGCCTTGGTCAGGGAGAGGCATACCATCATCTTCTGTGGACCGGTGGCGGCAATCATCCATACAGTAGATATCAGCAAAGGAAAAGTTCACCGGAGTATGCATCGAACTGCCACCTACTCTGTTTACCGCTTTCGTGATTTCCCAAGCAAGGCATGAACCCGAAAGGCCCGTATTGTGAGGTACTCCGAAAATAAGCGAGCGTAACTGGTTTTCAGATTGGTAGTCCGGCTGCCCTACGAGGTCTTGCACTAAAGTATCAAGGAGAAGCCACAACCAACCAGACTGTCCAGGAAAGACATATTTCAGAGATTCAATTTCAGAGCGGTACGCGTTTATAATGTCGTGGCTTTCAGACCAGCTGTAACGCGGTTGGGAGATCGTTTTCAAAACTAAAATTATCAAAAATAACAAGGCGAAGACAAGGAGCAGCTGAAGACATTGGGAACGACTAGGTCGACTTGCTGAATTCTTAAAATATGGAATAAGTTGAAAAGGTCGACGGAAGTTAACGGCCCGGAGCATAGTTCTATTGGCATAGTTTCCCGAGGTGACGATGTGACGATTGTCTATTAGAGTAGGAATGTCGATATCTGGTAAGTTTCCAAAAGGTGATGTGACGTGTCCGAAAATTCGACGTCGGTAAGAAATCGGCTGTAAGATATAAAAAAAAAATGTTCTCTTTTAAAATTTTTATGCCAACTCTCATAATACCTTCTTCATTTTTTTGTTTCTATTTTAGTCTTTCTATCATATTCACTTGTTTCTCTTCCAGATGTGTGGGCGGTGAAATGGACAGGGACCCGAAATGTGAAACTTTTCCAATATTCCGATATACTTTTATCCTACATTTCCACATAATCTACTTTTACTTCCTTCTCTTATTTTTATTTTTTAATCTGTTTCACCCCAATTAAGGCAGAAAAGTCACTAAGATACAAGGGGTTACTGGATGAGGAAGAATTAGGAACCGAATCATTAATAATAAGCGGCAAGAAGAGAAAAGAGTAATCAGCCGGACCGTAGATAGCGATTGATATTGCGTTAAAATTTTTGCAGAATAAAGTTGGCTAGAAAGCATGGAATCGAAAGTGAGTTTCACTAGCGAGAAGTGCGAGAAAAGAAGCCGCTGACCTCATTTAGTAAGCCTCTACCTTGAATGGCTCTTGGGCTTTGTATTGCGGGGTGCGAGTGGTCTAATGGATAGCGGCTCGGAATGAGAAATTGGAGAGCCAGATTCGAATTCCAGTCGGGTTCGTTACATTACTTGACGCTCAAATACCTTTTGGAAAGTTATGAATCTATTTCCCCCTTGACTATGGGTTAAATAGTTGGACTAATATCTCCAAAATAGAATTGTTATTCTAAAAAATTCTTAATGCAAGAAGAAATTGAAAAAGACTAGGTTGATATAGTAGATTCTTAACATAAGGGATAAGTTAGAAAGCAAAAAAAAGAAAAAATCTTACAAAAATATATTTCGACTTTCAAAACCCCCAAAAGATTGATAAGCCGTAAAAAAAAATCAACAAATCAATCAACGTCTCTCTTCCAACAGACACGGTATGTAAAAGGCAATAAAAAGATTTGAAGTAGACACAAACGCTTTCACTTAAAATGTCAGTTAGGTTTTATTTTTTTCTCATCGTAAAAAACGGTATTAGGTGAATGTGAATTGTCATAATTGACAGTAAGATTTCGTTTAACACATTAGAAAAATTCTAATCCCATCATCCGCAACAGATTTGGAAATCCGCGGATAATAGCAAACCCTATAGCTATAACCAAATCTTTCGACGGGAAAATCAACGTTTCCGGATCCTTACGTCTACTGTAACCCTAAAGTTCTAACATCTCCATCTGAATTCGGAAATTTTATTTACTACTTATTTTTTCCCCCCTCAATAGGAGTAGGTAGGTTCGGCTATCGTCCGGTTCACACACCTCCCGAGTGTTTTAAACAGGAGTAAACTTTTATCCCCTGTTTAAGATTGTTTTTTTTTTTCTTATTCTCTTTCACGCCAAGTAGCCCCCCCCCCCCTATGTTCGTGGCATTATCGCCTTGCTTGGGGGTGAATTGGTTAAAAAAAAAAATTAAAAACAAAATAAAATCAGGATTTTGCTAAAAGAAAAATGTTAAAATAAAAATAAAAAAATCTATATATGAAAGAAGAACTGATTCTTTGTCCGTCACGCGTTGTCTGCGTGTGACCTTTGCATGTGCGTATGGTGATATATATGCCTATGTCTGTTCATCATATATAGACAAGCACACACAGATACAATTTGACTGAGTTTGAAATCAGACATTCATATAATACATTTCCTTTTCACTCAGTCTGGACAAACCCTATCCTGTGATGGGAAATAAATTAATAAAGTTGTAGACAAAAAATTTTAAAAAAATACTAAAAAATCTGATAATTATAAAATTTTATTAATGTCTTTTGAAATTATTTGGTAGAAAATAGAATTATTATTTTAAAATTTAAAAGCTCAGTTGAGTAAAGTTCACTTAGAAAGCAATAAACAAGGAAACCATTAATAATTTAGTGGCGTTGGGGGTGGAGTTGTGGTTTGGAATCAGTTTAATTCTGTCGACGCGCTTCAAACTTGTGACTTGGTGAACAATTACTTCTTCTCCATTTGAAGCAACTGAGTCCAGAAAAATTTTTAAAAATCGCAAGAGAATACACGATTTTTTGTAATAAGCCACATTCTAATGAGCTTTCTCCTTTAGTTCCTCGGCTGCATGAATTGAAATGTACTACTAGATTAGCAACTAGATCTCATTGTTTTACTATTAAAAGAACAAGATGTAACCGTAAGTTCTATTCAAATAGTTTCTTTCCTCGCACTTCTCGCCTGTGGACCTCTTTGTTTTTTTGCTTCCCTGTCATCTACGCTCTTCGAAAATCTAAATACAACGTTAATCGCCATCTTCTGTATTGTTGAAACCTTTTTTCTTATTCTCCTTTCTTCTCACTAAAGTCTCCTCATTCTCTTTTATTGCAAGTAAACTCTTGCGTCTTAGTCGCATTATCGCCTTGCTTGGGTGAAATGATTAAAAAAAAATTAAACTCGATTTGATTTGTTTCTTTATTTTTTTACTGTTTATCAAACCTTGCAAGTTTTTTTAAAAAACAGAAAATATTTTTAGATTGTAAGAATCCTTATTTTGGGAATACTAATGATTTACTGATATCTACTAATTAACTCATAGCTAGAGGAAGAAGAGTTATCATATTTTACCCAGGGGTCTTTGCACGTAAGTAAATATAACGAACCCAACTGGAATTGAAACTCGACTCTCCGATTTCCAATTCCGAGCCGTTATCCATGACACCAGCCGCACACCCAAGCTTACAACATTTGGTATTTCCAAGAGGTCACCCATCATCTAAGTATTGACCAGGTTCGAAGTTTTCAACTTCGGTTATCGGACGAGAATTGGTGTACCGATGTGACATGACCGTAAGCCATATCACCCGCACATTCAAGGTTACAGCACCTGGTATTCCCAAGCGATCACCCATTTAGGTATTGACCAGGCTCAACATTGCTTAATTTCCGTGATCGGACGAGAGCCGGTGTTTCAACGTGATATGGTCGTAAGCCAAATGCACTCAAAATGAACTAAATTATAAACAATTCCACCACTGACGTCAGTGTGGCTTAAGCAATTCAAAAGAAAGTAGAAAAAGAAAAAAGTAAAATTAAAAAGACTTAATTAATACGTAATTTTATGCTGTACTCAGAAGTGAAACAATTTCACCAGTTTAGTTGCATTTAAATGTTTTCCTTTTCTATTTTTTTAATCATGTTTACAATAAACAAGGCAATAAAGGTACTAAGATGCAAGGGGTTACTGAGTGTGACAGAATATAAAAAACACTATTAAGAAGAGAGAACAATAAAAGAATATGAATTTAGAAGACAGTAGAGAAATATTGACATTACATTTAAATTTTTGAAGATCAAAATTGACTAAAATGCAAGAAGGCAGAAAAGAGTTCCACAAGCAAGAAGTGTGAGAGAAGAAACTGTTAGTATAGAACTTATGGCTACATCTAAACATTTCAACTGAAAAATGATGAGACCTAACTGCCAATCTAGTACCATGCTTAAATTTGTAAAGTCTAGGTATCAAAGTGGAAAATAATATTTATTTTGAGTAATACAAAAATGTGGCACAAGGCCAAAAGGGGAGATAAAAGAAGGCCGGTCTTCAATCTGTACTATCTTAAATTTAGCTAGCCACAATTACTGATCCAAACATACCACAGTATTCCTTACACTACATTCTTACTTACTATTCTTACTACAGACACCATAATACCTAACTAGTTCCCATATGTCCCAAATCTGTCTTTTAAAATAATAAAATAAAAAAAGGAATATTCATCACGACAATGAGCATTAAGTCATTTATAGAAAAAAGTACAGTGAAGCTACGTTGCGGTAGTGGGAAAGTGATCGAAGCTGAGATGCCAGGTCAGAACCAATAACATTGCAGATTGTTCGTTGGATTTTATCAGGAATCTCTCTGAATACACAGCAGAAGCACTAAACCAGATATTTATGAGACTCAAGTACAAAAAATAACCTTCAGTTTGTACTGCGTATCATGATTTTGACGGCAAAAATAAAAACTTCTCCGGTTGTCAAAAGTTAATAATTGGAATTTCTTATTTAAAACTTCGTAAATACATCCAACTGTATACAACGATTATACGCTTTATGTGGGATTCAAATACCCAACAGAATTATCTCATAGTCATCATGAGATCTTTTTTTGACTTGAAGGTATATTTAATGATGAAGAACTTGTAAAAAAAATGAATTATTGTATTCCCCCCCTGTTTGGCCTTGTGCCATATTTTTGTATTTTACAAAATAAATATTATTTTCCTTTATGATACCTAGACTTTATGAATTTAAACGTATTACGAGATTGGAGGAAACGTCTCATCATTTTACACTTGAAATTGTTAAATGTAACTTCAAGTTCTCAATGTTTCTTCTCTCCTTGTTCTTTGCTTTGTTTTCCGTTGTTTGCTTGTTTTTTGGGTTTTTTTTTTGCTCCCCAGTCAATTTTGACCTTCAAAAGTTTAAATACAATCTCAATCGTTATCTTCTGTTTTCTTCATCTCTCTTCTTTTATTATTCTCTCTTCTTAATAGTATTTTTCTCATATTGTCTAACACTCAGCAACACCTTGCGTCTTAGTGGCTTTAGTGCCTTGCTTGGGGTGAAGTGATTAAAAACAAAGTAGAAACCAAAATCGAAGAAGAATTTTATATTAATATCGGAGTTAATAGATTTGGAAACAGTAAATATTATGGAAATGTTCTTGTCATCACTAATAAATTGGAAAATGACATCCATAAACATTAGACGAACAACCATAGTAAAAAAAAAAAACATTGCTATAACTCTAGATACATACATAAAAAAATTCATGCATTCTGTTACAAATAAAAATAAAATTAACCTTGAAAATGGCGAAAAGAATAGCCGAAAACGCTAGGATAATTTATGTCTAAGAAAAAAATATAACACAAAAAAATTAAATAGAAACTTAACCGCAGTACTTTGCCCGTCGTTTTTAACGAAACTTGTATAAAAGATAGATTGCTCCCAAGATACACGTGTGTGTGTGTGTGTTTGTTTTGTTTATCTTGTTTTAAAGGATATTTTTGATGAATACTCATATTCGATTAGAAGCTGTGTTTTTTAATTTAACAGTATTTTTTTTTAATTTAATAATGTTTCTCTTTTTCTAGTATCCTTTCACACTTATTAACCACTTACATCTTACTGAATTTATTACCTTGCTTAGGGTGAATTTTTTTTTTTTTTTTAAAGTTGATTATTTAAAAAAAAAACACGTGAATTTGACTTTAGCTACCCTGCTAATAACCATAATGGTTTTATGAAGAAATGGGATGTTTGGTGACTTGGTAATCTGGGCATCGAAACGAGTTTGGACAATAATAAAGAAAATTGTCTATTCCTAACCATTTGCTTGGCCCCATTATTTCATAGTAAATTGCCGAACGTCGGCTAATATTTAATAGCCTCGAATTAATAGAGCACAAATACCTGCCATTGATTCTTGTAAGGGATACTCTCAAAGCAGTTAGCTTCGCATTCACTCAGCCGATTGCCTGGGGCAGTAACTACACTTGATTCCACCTGGGTTGAAGGCAAAGAGTGTATCCGTCGACAGCTACACTTTCGACTCCACCTTGTCATGACGTTTTGTTTTTGCTTGCCCAACGATAACCATGAGATGGCCGCATTTTCAAATGTCGTCTTCAATTTGAACAATAAAACGCGGCGTCTTTTCAAGCCTAACTTTCGAAATCGCGTGCTCTTGCCATCGAATGCGCGTTGGAAGCAAAAATAAACCATCAGGAAATATCAAACAAGAAAAAGAACATCAGTTGTCATCACAATCGTCGTCGTTTCTCGGGCTACGGGCCGGGATCAAAGCGTAGTATCTGTTCTCTACATTTTAGATGAGAAAAAGTTCCTGGTCACGGGTATTCGAACACTTTGGAGTTTGGTGAAATATCGACACCAGCGTGACATTGGTCGAGGGAACTGGGCAGTTTTTGGTCCTTGTCCCATATGTACGTCTACGGGTGCCCACATAATAAAAGACCTTATGTCACATACTGCTTTAATGGAAAGGTCAGGTAAATAAAATTGTCATCACAATCAACAAAGATACGCGCTCCTTTTCCCCTGTATTCCAGCTGGGATCAAACTGTAATACCTATTCTCACTTGTTAAAGTTATGAGAAAAGTCTAGTTCCTGGGATTTCAAACCTACAGCAGTACCTCCTTCACTGTACTAAGGTGGAATGATTGGTCGATAACAACACTAGCGTGACAGGGGAGGGTTTTGGGGGCAATTTTTATCCTTAGCTCATATGTACACGTATAAGTGCTCTACATTAAAAACTGCCTTGTGCAACATTCCGCCACAGTGGGGAAGCGAGTAAATAAAAGATGAAAATGTAGTATCTGTTCTCACTTTCACCTAAAGTTATGAAGGAGGCTAAGGTCAGTACCTGGCCTCGCCAAAAAGCGAAGAACCGAGGCGACTGGAGCAATGTTTCTCCTTAGCCCATATACGTGTGGGCTCCTACCCGACCTTTCGTAACATTCCGTTTGTATTCCAACCCAGCGGCAGAACCTTCCTCTTTGCACTAAAGAGGGTCGAGTCGGTGAACACCGATGCCAGCGTAACGGTGTTCACGGATAGAGTGCAATTTTTGTACTGGGCTTTTATGATCTCCTAAAACTAGAGTTGCAAATGCGGGTACCGTATACACGGGAGATAAGAGTCAGAGTTTAGATGTCTACACGTACGCCTTAGAAGCTGGAGATGTCGTTTTCCGGCTTACTTTTTCTGGGTATCGCAAAATGATTCTTGAAGCGGATTCATTCACGAGCTGAAAGCTACTACAGCCTGTGTGTAAGGTACCCCATATTAAACCGGACTTCGCTTAAATCCTCCCATCGTGTGACTACGGCAGGTTTGCGGAGAACCATGACTAGCGGCATAGAAGACGACGACTTAAATTTGATTAAATCTTAAACAACTCTACTACTGACGTCAGTGGGTCTGAAGAAAATACAAAAAATGTTAAACAAAATTTTTGAAAATGAAACAAAGAAAAATGTAAAATGAAACAAAAATTAACAACCAAAAAATTAAAAAAATATTCAATACGTTATTTTATACTGTATTAAAGAATTCTACCAATTATACGAGTTTCGTAAAATTACAGGTTTTTCTTTTTCTCGTGCCACTTTCTTCTCTTCACCATTTATTTATTTTTATAATTTTATACTTATGTTCACCCAATCCAAAGCCCAAGATCAACTTAAGGTAGAGCGTTACTGTGTGGCGTTGTTCTTTAATATTTAGCAAGTAGAAAGTAATTTTTCTGATTAGTCAGGTAGCTTTCAGAACACCTCTTTCAATTAACTAATATGCAGTTTCTAGTTTTAACAATAATATTTGTGTGAATTTAACAATAGTTAGTTGGTCACCGAAAATAAAATGTAAGTTATTCTTGCATTCCTGTCTAAACGCAGAACAGTAGCCTAGTGAATTAAAGCGTTAATTCCTGAATTTGGTGACATAGTTATTGTGAGTTCAATCTCTAGGCCGGGTTGTGTGGAATTGTATTCAGTGGAAACAGGCGAGCAATAAACGAGAAGTACTAAAAATACGAAGAACTAGACGAGATTTCTTGACATGGGCAGCGGAATGAGAACAGTCTACGCCTATAGATTAGATAAAGGGTTCAGTTCAGTATTCTCTGTGGGTTATCCAGATCGATATATACCTTATAAAGGCTGGTGGCAGAACGGCCGAAAATCAATGATAGCGACAACAGAAACGAGGTCAACTGTCCGAATATAAATAATGTTAATAAAATACCTACACCTGAATTTTTGAAACTTACAAGTTTAGATTTAATTGTTCGCCTTTTATTTTGAAAATAAAACGTTTTTCATTTTTATTTATCCTATAAAAACAGAAAATGCTCAAGAGAGAATATAGAAAAAAAAAAACTAAATGATATATAATC